GTTTTATTTTATTCTTTCACATGATTTTTTTTTAAAATTACATATTGTGTATGTGCTAACTTTTCATGACGATTCTTACGCATTTAGAGGTTTTTATATGATGATCGCCCCAAAATTTATTTAATAAAATGCTCTGATTCGTAGATGGATCAGCAATTAATGATTTAAATCAAGGATAAGATACAAGAACAAGTAGTGCAAGATAATTTCTTATGAAAAATGATAGAGTTGCAAGGGAGAGAATGTACGGCCCCTGGATCATTTAATGTACGCCCCTATACTTTGGCTCTACCAGGTGAAAAACTATTTATTACTATTGTTATAATCTATTATTTCGTTAGAATTGTAGTCGTAACCATCACTACTCATGATTTTATTTTTTTCTTTAGTTTTAAACGCAATCCAAGCCTTTATCGCGCCTATGGTTCTGACATCGGGTTTCATTTTTTCATTATAAAAACTTTCAATAGCCTTAAATCCAATAACTTTTATTTTTGTTTGTTTTTTAAGATCTCTTATAACTTCATTAATCATATCTGATCTAGTATGATCATTTTCTTCCATAGTTTCATTGAAAAGGTTCTTAAAATTTTGCACAATTTCAGAATTTGAAGACGATGATCGATTCGAAGCTGGAACAAATAAATACAAAATGGTTAGCCTGGATCATTGACATGAAAGGCTTGAAAAAAAAATAAAACGCTTACCTTGAGAACTATTTGTCAATTCACTTGAAGCATCTCCCGAAATTTGTTTTTGTTGCATCTCTTCGATAGCAATTGAATTTTTCAGTAAGGTCATCAAATTTTCGATTAACGTCTTCGGATAGAAGTTTCTGCGCATCTTTTAGTGAAGTAAGAGTGATATCGGTTTCCCGTTTTAAATTATACAGAGCAAAGCATGCAATTACAATGATTAGGTAAACTGGGAATTTTCCTTTGATAATCCACAATACGATGACAATCAAGATTGGTATAAAAATGAAATAATTTTCTGATGGCGTTTGTTTGAAATATTCTAAGATATTTGTATCCATCTGTTAGGGATTAATGTGAGCGTATAAAGTCATTAAAAAGGATATTCAATAAAAAAAAAACAATCGATATATCAATATAAGTCAGAGACCACTTACTTTGGTATAATAAACCTTTGATTTAACAAATATATGACTGGTTTTTTAAAAGAAAATTTTGATATAGTTTTGATTAATTTACGACGCTTTATTAATTTATTTATTTTTTGAATGTTAACAGATTTTTATTGCTTTGCAGTAACTTTGTGGGTATATTTATTCGAATGTTATAGTTATGAAGTAGAAAAATTATACGAATTCAAGTTCAAGCTGTTTTTATACATATTTCAGAATCTCTCTGGCGTTGATTGTCGATTTGCTATGGGTACACACTATTAAAGTTATCAACAATCATTGGTTTTTTCGAATTACACGGTCAGCTCATTAAAAATTTATCTACTATGGACGATCTGTTATCTTTGCCGATCATAATTATTTCTGATAGGTAAATCAAAAATTTTGGTATATCTTATACTACGCACAGGCCTCATTCGATGTCAAAAAAAAATAAGCTTAATCGTTTTTATACAACAGCAATAGATGCCTCTTATTTATTCGTAAAACAGAGAAGATCCATTAATTACATAATAATACACGACATCGGATTAAAATGCATTTGTGAAGTCTCACGATTGGACGAATAATATGCGGAGCTTAGAAATTCTACCAATATGGCAATAGATAAAGTACCTCTATCCTCAACACGAACTACAATAATCAAGACGAGCAGGACAGCAAAGATTTTCTATAATCCAGAAAAGGTATATTAAATGAATATTATTTAGGTAGCGAGAGAAATATGTAATTTCATTATATTAAGTGGAGCTTGAAGTATAGGGGCAGTCATCGCCTTTCGAGGCAGGCCTAGGATCCGACTGTTCCCTCCCTAATGTGAAAAAGCTTCACTTTATATTTTTTCTGACCTTTAAGGGCGTCTCTTTGAGGCATCCTTTTTCTCGGGAGTGGTCGTTGTCCTCTAAGCAAGGCGTAGTGAGAAGAGGAAGGTTGCGAAGACTTCCCGCGGTTTATAAAACCATCGAGCTACATTGTAAAGAGTGATTTAATTGTACCCACCGAGGAAATTTTATTTCATTGGGTCATGATCAATTACTTAATCGTAATACTTTTTTTTTAGCACAAAACCCACGCGTCTATTTACAGAAGATCGGACACCATCATCAATGATGTCGACCACATATTCTCCACCAAGAAGTTATTAGGTGATTCGGATAGCGGAGCTAGACTCGAAGAGTCATTACAAGGTAATAGTGACTCTGACACATAAATTTACTAGAGTATCATATTTCTATCTTGTATTTTATTTTTCATATATTAATAAAGCCGACCCTGGTGGTTGAATTATCATATATATATACTGTAAACATATCAATCGTAATTATTTTTTTTCTTGACAAAAGTGATCGGCGTGAAGATTCTTCACGCGCACGTGATTTTTATTTGAAATTAAAGGCATAAATCAATAAAAATATTTCAAGACGTATACAATATTCTTCCGAACATTTTTGACAAAATTATATAGATTGATATTAAACATGCAATCTAAAGACGATGAGTTGAAAACTCAAGTTTCTGATTCCTCATTGAGAGAATTGAATTCCAAGCTCGTAATCGAGATTGATAAGCTTAGAAGAGAGAAGGATTCACTTATAAGTAAAAATACCGAGCTCTTGGCTAGAATTGTAGAATTAGAACAATCTATAAAAGAAGATGCTGAAAATACAAAGTTAAGAGACGCCGAACTTAATACCAGAATATTCGAATTAGAACGATCAGCAAAAGAAAACGAAGAGCTTAGAAACAGAGTAGCGAAATTGGAACAGTACCAGTACATCGATACTAATACCATATCGTTAGATGATGAAACAAATTCTAACGATACTTCTGAACAGATAATCTCATGTAATGAGGAGTCTAGGCTCGAAGAGCCATTGCTTCGCAATAACACATCTAATTCTGACATATACCAGGATTCGGCAACCACTACATCTCATGCAGAAACCATATCATTTGCATCGCAAAGCAACTTACGTCGCCTGGAAGAGAAGGTAGAACATGAATTTCGGGATCAAGAGTTACTCTCAACTCCTGAGAACACTATCCCTAAGATTTCTATATCACCGAATAAGAATGCTTCCATACACGAAGCAGAGAAATCATTACTTAATAAAGATCTAAATATTCAAGATACAAAACTTTCTTCTTCTGAATCTAAATCGTCTATTATCTCTTCATCCAATCAGGAACAAAGTGCTATTTCTTCCGAAATAAAAATTCCCTATAATCAAAAGGTTGAACAAGGTTTAATATGTGAGTTATCTACATTTATTAACGAGAAAAGCCTTTCGAATCCCATACCTGATAGACAAATTCTTGAAAACACGCTAGATGGAGATGATTCAACCCCAGGTTCTGCATTGCGTTTGGCCCATTTATTCGACAAGGCTAAAAAAACTGGCCAGAAAGAAATTTTACGTTGGTATTGTTATAGTGAGGAATTCGAAAAAAAGGTAACAGACATTAGCTTTAAAAACGAACTTAACGATCAAATGGCGAGAACACAGATTTATAATGAAATGGTTCCATTTCTTCCTGGCATTAAGAGAGAGTATTTGTGTAAGAAAACTCAAAAGGCTAGAAATATTTATACATTATTCAAAGAAATAGGAATAGATAAAATCAAACAAGTTACGTATAGTGCTGATGCTATTTCTAGTTTAACAGGTGTTCAAATCCAAAATATAATAAAGCTTTTCTCTGAAAAGCCTAATGTAGAATTAGTTAACGAGCAAGCTGAATGTCAAAAAGTGATCAGCGTGAAGAATCTTCATGCACAAACAACCAAACCATCTTGCTCAAATGACATATCAAACATTGACGTAAGTATATCATCTAATTTATATCCAGAAAATGAAAATGAGGTAAGTGCATCACCTATATTTTCATCCAATCCAGCTCATAGCCATGCATATTTCCGTAATAAAACACTAGAACAATATCCTAACTTATATCAAGAAGGTAGTGATGGAAATGATGATTATTATGGAATTACCGATGAGTCTTTATGTCCGCTATGCAAATTAGATCATGACGATGATAATGGTATAGAAGGTAAATATGAAATTGGAGAATCAGAGATTCGATGCTCTGCATCATCTTATTATATTAAATGTGAACAGCATGGAATTGAAATTGAGGTAACGGCATGAACTTAAACTTATACTAATACAATTCGCTCAAGTCTTTAAGGTGTCCCTCTGAGGCATATTTATTTTTTGTTAGTTATTATATTGTGAAATAATGAGCTTCGCTCTAATTTAAATAGATATGCAATCATATAAAACAGGACATGAATACACATTTAAAGGTCAGGCTCTTTAAGGGCGACTCTACGAATCATAAAACATTGACTGCATGGCTAGATGATCTGATGAAAGAATGGGAAGAAATCCATACTCAATTTGTACAAATTTTTAACCAGATATAGAAGTTTTCTACATATATCGGGACACATTCATTTTTTTTTCTAGCAAAGTGATCGGCACACGTGATTTTAATAATTTAGCTTTTCTGCAATTATTATATTATTTTATTATAACAAATATGATAAGTAATACTAATAATAAATCCGATCAAAGCGAAACATTTGCTCCTTTATATGAAGTGCTTTTATATAAGAAGAAGGATATAATAGCAATTCAAGAAAAACTCGGTATTATCAGTAATATAAATCAAATGGCAGTGACGGAGAGCAAGAAAGCAAAAAATCTTGCTGTTTCATATGAATTATTGTTAGAATTGGTGGGGGATTTAATACTTATACAGGGGAAACTTGGTATAGATATTAATCCCGTTTTAGAAGCGGAACTTAGAAGGGATAAAATTTCTTCAGATAAACCAATTAGATTATTTGATTTGCTTTTATGCTTAGAAGGTGATATAGTGACAATTCAGGAAAAAATCGGTATTGTTGGCTATACTAATCAAGAAATGGCAGAAGAAGCCGATAAAAATGCGAGAGTGTATTTCCAGAAGTTTGAGAAATTCCACGGCCCCTTAGAAGATGATCTAGGTATCCTAATAAAGAAATTCGCCGATATGGGGGTGAAGAAATTTTGGTCTACTGGTGAGGGACTACCATTATTTCCGAATGTCTCTCCTGAGCAATTACATGAAGTTTTTGTTAAAAAAACGGCTAGCGTTAATCAGTGCCCGTGTCTAGAATCAAAAGTAGGTTTGGAGAACCATTGCTTTGCAATAAAGCAAGGAAAATTATCACAGATATATATAGCATCCTTGATCAATGGCTCTAGCAAGACTATTTAATATATTATCTCGTTCTAGATTAATTGAATTTGATGATGCTTCGATATAATTACTGAATGCAGAATAAAAATCTGTTTCGTCTAATGTATGACTCAAAGAGTAGTCTCTAAAGGACCTGGTTATAGCTATCCCATTTTGTCCACCGGTAAAGATTGGAATAAGTGGAGGTAAATCAGAATCGGAGAATTCATCATCTGAATAATCTGGATGTTCGATTTTAATTTTTGAATTAAGTTTTTTCATCACTTCATTACTAATCCTTCTACATCCCTTCAAACTAAGATATTTCAAATTAGTACAGTTGTCAGCTATCTCCTTGATAGCTTCATTACCAATCAAGCAATCACCAAGCTCAAGATGTCTAAGTTTTGAGCATGAGCAAGTAATTTCAGTGATGCACCGATTAGTGAGGCATATACATGAATTAAGACTCAGATGTAATAGCTTTGGGCAATATCTTGCAATTTCTATAATTGGTATATTAGAGAAACCCTTACTTCTATCAAGAATAAGAAAGCGTATATTTGGACATGAATGCAAAATTGCACTGATTAATGCATCTGAGATTTTTAAACCTTCTAATCTGAGATATGCCATCTTTAAACAATAGAGTGGCTTTATTTTTCTATGCATAACTCTTTTAAAGTTTATCAATCACCAAGTAAGAACCCAAGACATGTTTAGAGCACACCGGCTCTGCTGATAATCTTCGTTAAAAAACTCAACTTGATGCCATAGAATAGGAGCACTGCAGTGATACCAAAGGTGGTTGATGAATAAAGCAGGTTAGAGGGATCAATCGATTTCTAAAAAATATATGATCTGTTCTAGCAATTCTGGTAAATCAAAAATATTTAATTGCGCCATTCTCAAGAATATATATTATATATCTTTAATCAGAAAAGCAACTAATGTTTGGATAAATTAATTTTAGGCGGATATACTATGCATTTTCCAGATATTCTCAATTGCACATAACCTCATAACTAGTTCCATCGAGCAATGTAAGAGTTTTATTTGGGAAGTCCACTTTCATTGCATTTTCCTGGAACCATGGCTGACCCAATATCAGTACAGATTCAAGTTCAGGATCATTGGTAATGAAAACATCAGTAACTTTTACTTGCTTTGATTTACTATCTTTGGATTGAAAAAGAGGTATTTATTTCATGGAATATCCCTAGTATTGGTAGCCTATCTCCTGTAGTTAATATATATGGTGATTTTTCAGATTCCATTACCTATAATATTACAATTAGCACCGGAATCTAATTGATTTTATATTGCAGAAATTGGTGGGCAGTTCACCAGTAAAAGCAAAAAAAAAAAATATAATGATGATAAGCCATCACCACATTCATCACAGCCCAACAATATCACCAATGAAATCACTAGAACCAACACAACTGTCCATATCTCCAATGCAACTACTGTCACCATCACCAACTTAATCACCACCAACTCAAAAATGGAGACCTGCATCATAAGAAGTCATGATCCCAACAAAAAAATTATTGTTCATTTGGCAATCCAATGTTCAACCATTGTATGAAAGGAAAATGGACAGGTGTGTGTAGAATTCTTTATAAGGTACTTTATCACCTGGAACATTTGTGATTATAAGATACCCGAGTTAGGATCTTCTAAAATTCGTTCAAAAAACTGGATAGTCCTCTGCATACTGTGCTCAACTGCAAAAAATTGTAACGCAGTCTGGAATAGGAATAGAGATGTCAATGCCTCCAGAAATTTCATTATATTTCAACTTATTTGGCAGCAAATGAAAACAGGTGGCCAGATATTTTCACGTAATCAACATCAACCATTGGCTAGCTTAACTCTAGTCCAACACCTTTCTACTTGTTAAGCAATAATAATTCTAAGTGTTTATATTAAGTAAAAATATTATACAAATTTTTTTTTTAATTACTATAAAATGTTTATATATGCAAGATAATAATTAAGTTAAAAGAGTTAGAAAAGAAAAAAAACAAGATGTAAAAATATATAAGTTCTTATAGTTCATTTTGTATTCTATCATCATCATCATCATCTTTATTAGAAGTTCTTTCAACTTCAGCAACATTAACCAATTTCTTCACGTGACCTTCAGCAAAATTCATTAATTTGTCTAAATCATCAATTTGTTCGTAAAGGTTTTGTGAGGTAATAAGAGATTTAGACTTTTCTTTTTCATTATTACTTTTTACGTCATCAGTATTATCCGATTCATTATTATTGTCGTTGTATTGTGTTGATGATGGTTGTGGATTATGTCTAGTTGATGATGATAATGGTGGCGAGGAATATTTTGCTTGATAATAAAAATCTTTATCTTTTTGTTGTAAATTATCATATCTTTTTGATTTTTCATTCATCCATTTCCATAATAAATCAACATCATTTTCAAAATGATCATCAAATATTGAAACAAGTTCTCGATACCTTTTTGGTTCATCAGCATTATTATTATTGCTATTATAATAATTAGCATTTCTCCTTCCTCCTCCTCCACTATAATGATGAGATGGATGGTGAATATTAGTCCTTTTTTCCATATTATCAAGTCTATACCCTAAATCCCGAATTATCACATAAGTTGAAAAATTAATTATCAAAGTAGCAACTAATACTAAGACTGCCAATGTGTTGGTTGAGGGTGGACTAGAAAAAATGGTTTGAACTAATGGACCCAAGATGGATGATATGATGCTTGGAAGTTCTGAAAGTGCACTTATAATACCAGCTGCTTTACGTTGTCCAGGTGTAGGCGGCAATTGTTCATGAAGATCAATATCACCAGTAATGGTTAATGGTTTGCATGGTTCTTTTGACCTACGTCTTGATAGGGATGATGGTCTTTCATCACAAATTTCCTCTGATTCTAGTAATATTCCTGGTTTTTCTCGTATGGGTGAAGTAACAAGTTCATCCCTGAATTCGGTAGGATGTGCAGAAATATATTTCTTTGCAGAGTGCATTAAACTTTTCCAATGTTGTTGTTGTCCTTCGATACACGCCTTTTCAATTGTACCTTGATAAGTAATAAATAAAATAAATAAATAAAACAAATAAAACATAAATAAACATAAAGATTCGTTTTAAACAATACCTTTCAACCAACTAGATTTAGACCACTCAACACTACATGTTACAATGATTCTAGTTTCACTTTGACCTGCCCACATTATACAAGTTTTTGTTTTTACGCAGAAAGAACCTCCAGACGGAACATCAGGTGTTGTGGTAATAGACAAGTTAGTGGTATAACTAACGAATAAATAAAAAATTGTATATTAGTTATATATAACTGTTATAAATGCGTTTATATTATTGTATATACTTTTCAAAGTCTCGATGTAAGGATTCATCATTAATAATGCATTTTGTACTTTTTGGTCCTAATTCAACATTTTTATTTTTAAAAAAAAAGTTTAAATGTAAATAATGTGTAATGATGACTCTATAAATGAAATAATAAGATAAATAAATGATTTACCTAATGAATTATTTAGTGGTTTTATATAATCTGTTGATCGTGTTAAATTGCCATTATAACCTGATTTCCATTCACCTATATGAACCTCCGTACATTTTTCCTCGTAGGTAAGATAACGTTCTACAAAATCACTTGTAAACAGCAAATTATAAATTTTTTCTACTGTTCCTGGCAATTTACCATCAAAAGATAAATTGGCGAAATGATTATTTTTCATGCAAGCGCATTGAGTTGGTGATCTTCGTTTTTTCACAGCAGATTTTGAAATACTTAAACCACGTGATATCAGTGGTGGTGGTTGTTGGTGATTATGATTATTTTTTCTTGAAGAATTGGATGTTCGAGAACTATTATTATTGGTACCATGGGTTGTAGAATTGTTGTTGTTTGATGTGGCGTTATTATTTCTGGTAGATTTGGATTTTGATGATGAATTATTGTTGTTTATCTTGGAATTTTGTTTTTTTGCGTCAGGAGTAGTTGGGACTGTAAAATAAATAAAAAATAAAAAATAAAAAGCAGATGAATAATTAGTAATCATTATTAATTAGGAATTTTGTTTTGATTCCTTATTATCATTTTGCTAGTATTACTAGAAATACCACTAGAAATGCGAATTTTAACACTAATAATATTATTGTTGTTAACACTACTACCACTACACTAATACTATTATTATAACCATTACTAATATAATCGTTATTAATATTATCATTATTAATTACAACAACAACTAGTAACAAAGAAATCTGACTCAAATAGATTGGTTTTTCTTGTACCTTTTATTGTTGATTTTTGATCAACAACATCAGCATAATTATTACTATTGTTATTGTTATTATTATTGTTGTTGTTGTTGTTGTTGTTGTTGTTGTTGTTGTTGTTGTTGTTGTTGTTTCCAGTTGCCAGTGCAGTTAACGTTGCAGTTGTAGATAATAGGGCAGATGTTGTCATTGATGCAAATGTTGAATATGATTTCTTTGGTGTTAATAAATTACCGATAGTATTTTCATTGTTATTGTTATTATTATTAATATTGTTAACATTATTATTATCGTTATTATTATCATCTATTTTTCGTTCCTTCTCGTCATAATCATCATTATTATTATCAATATTATCAGCATCATTATTATCAACATTATCTTCAGCCTCACCACTGTTATTAATCTCTTCTGGTGTAGTTTTTTTTGGAAAGAATGGTATTTTAGGTAATAATCCAGCAGTACCATTCATAAAATTACGACCAAATCCTTCTGATTTTTCCTCGACTAACCATATTCACATACACATATATATATATACATAATTATTTTTTATTTGATATAATTTGATAATTAAAAAAAAATAATAATGAATACCTTCATCACAGCTAGATAAATCATCATCGTCATCATCATCATCTGATATATCAGAAGAACAGGTTGTATTGTCACTTTCATCATACATAGAAATTGATCGGGCTAATGATGGATGAGATTGTTTCCACATAGTATATAATAATTCATATGCCGTATCTCTTGCAAGAAATGATGTAAAGAAATTCTAGAAAAATAAACAACACTGTTAAATAAATGTTAAATGAATAAGATCATAATGATAATTACCTTTGCATGTAATGTAGATATTAAAATGGCATTTGGTATAACAAAAGCGGTCATCTTTTTTTCAATTGATACAATATCTTTGAATGCTATTACCAACTATATAATATAATTATGTATAAATATTTTATGAATAATTACTAATTATGTAAATCTACAAAGTTACATAAATTTGCAAATATATAAATTCAAAATATAAATAAATACATACATTTGTGATCCATCCAAAGATATTTGCATTGAAACAAACGTGAGTACAAGAAACATATAAACGTCCTTGAACCAAAATTTCTCTTTGTAAAGCACATCCAAAATCTAAAATAATGATAAAATAAATAAATTAAATAATTAAAAAATTTACAATAGTTAACCTGAATTGTATGCAAATTACCATTTATCAAAGAATCATATTCAGGCACACTTCTAAATAAAGAATGGAATTCGATATTTCTTTTTGGAGTGGCAGGAACATAACCACCGCCAACTACAAGTGGAAGCTCTGTACCATTATCATCTTGAGTAACGTTCCCACCATCTTTATATCCACCACCACTGCCACCAAGCCCATCACTTGCTATACTGTTACGTTTTCTTAATTTTGATGTTTTAGGTGAAACAGTTTGAGGTAATACTTTGTAATGGTTATTGCTATGACTACCATTCTTCCTGTTGTTCCTTAGATTAATGTCACTGCTACCATTATTATCACTACTATACTGTTCATGACGGTCGGAGCTGTTGCCATTGTTGTGACTAAAAGGTGTAAATGTGGGAACTCGTGAAAGATCATCGGCATAAATTGGAGTTTCTAATTTATTTTCCTCGTCTGAATTATTGTTGTTGTTGTTTTCAAACTGTTCAATTTTTAATGATGCAGCAGACCAAGGAACATCATGATTGGTATAAGAAGAAGAATTTGAAGTGTCCAAAGTGAGAGAAGTTGTAGGTATATTATTTATACTAGTTATATTTGAGGTAGCAATATTGTCGTTATTGCTATTATCAAGATTATTGTTACTATTATTGTTATTATTACTATTGGTATTATTATTAGTGCTGTTAGTATTATTTAGGTTATCGTTATCACTTTCTTTTATAATATTACGATCATTGTCAATATTTTCTTGCAAATGAAATGTTTTTTCATTTTGATTTTTTTCTTCAGTTGTAGTATTGGTTGAAAGATTATTATTTTGCATGACAGATAAAAAATTTTAATTACTGCGTCAATTGAATTCGAAATTTTTTTTTTTAAAGGAAAAAAGAATTTTTAGAAGATAGTTTTTTTGAATTTATAAATTTTATTAAATCCGAGATCACGTGATTTACGAAATTAGAATCTAATTTATTTCTTAATAAAAATAATATTTTATAATTTTTTTTTTTTATTTGTTGTTACAACCAACAAAAAAATAAATATATACAAGTATTTATTTATTTGTTATTAACAAATAATATTTATTTATAGAGTTCGTGCAACAAATTAAAAAATCAATGGTTGGTTGGTCAATAATGATGTAAATATGTGTTCATGATGAAACGGCTAAAGTAGAAATAGTAAAGCGAAGTTAATTAATTTAATATTAATATTAATAATATCGATATGGGGAAAATTAGTAAAGGGAGTTGTGAGAGCGTACGAGTATGCATGCATGATTTGTTTCTAAAATGTCTACGCAGATCCCAATCAAATCACATTCAAATGTAGATGGATGAAATTCATTTTTTTTATGATTTACTATATACAGTCAGACGTAAAAAATTTTGTATAACATTCAAGATTTTTACGATCCTAGCTTCAAAACTTTGTTGGTTAGGGTTTTCTTGGATTAAAAATTAGTTGATATTTTCGTAATAAATTTAAAATTGGTTAAAGATGTACGTAAGTATATTCTTTATCTTGATTGTTTTTTTTTTCGAACATGGATGTTTGCCGAAATTGTTTCGGCAGTGTTCGGATTCTCAACATTTTTATTATTATTATAACCATGCTATGTATTTGATTTATTTTTTTTTAAATCAAATGTTTCAAATTAATATTTATTTATTTGTGTGATATTCAGAAGCCTCTTGTTTTTGTGTAACTTTTTCAAAAATCGGGAATTCTTTGGTCTTGGACGATGCTTTGTAATATATGAAAGATAAAGATATTATTCAGATAATTTCCAAATTTGGTTAATGCAGTAACTATTTTTTCTTTCTCCAGGAAATTCTTAAATTCTTGAATGAAAAATCTCGGCTTTTTTTTATTTTATCAAGTATCTTTTTCCAAAATTACTTTTGACCACTAATTAGCTTGCTTGATTTACGATTTCAAAGGCTCTACCGATAAAAATATTTGCAGTTTGATTTTTTATGTGAAAATAATTTATGATATAATTCTTGGATATACACAGTGAATCTCGATTTAGCGGAACCTCGATTTAGCGGATACTAATTAAAAATCTCGGTTTTACGGATAGGTTCAAAGAACCGTTCCATAATAATAAACCTTAATAAAAACCTTCTCGATATAGTGGATATCTCGGTTTAACGGATTTTTGGAAAATTTTCCCTAATAGTCCAAACTATCCACTAAATCGAGATTCACTGTGTATAAATAAACCAGTGTATATATAAAATTCAACTGGATGGTGTAACGTTATATCAAAATTATGTGTGCGCAAAATAATTATAATTTAAAATTTAAATTTGTCATACACTTGTAAATGATTATATTGTATTAGGAAAAATAAAAACGGGGAATGATTTTTTGTCATAAATACCAGACTTTTTATTAAAAAAATTGTTGATTTAATTTAATTAAAACTCAATTAATTTCTTTCTAACACATATTAAAATGTAAATCAACAATTAATGAATATTCCAATGGAAATTGAAATCATTAATTTGTCAGATGATGAATCAAATAATGGTGATCAAGCTATAACTCCTGAAAATACATATTAGAAAAACTGCTGACCTTAAGTGGTTTTCTGATTATCCATGGTTGAGAACTGAATCTATTAATGGAAATATAATGTTGTATTGTAGAATTTGTAGAGAATGCAATGGAATAGCAACATTTGCAAGAGGTACACCTTTGTTAAGAATAGATAAAATCAGAGAACATATGAGAACCTCTGAACATAAAAAATTTGAAGAATTACTTAAACCAAATACCACAAGACAATTAAGCACAAAATTATTTCTTTAATGAGAATTATTTATTTCTGCTCAAAAAATAAAACACTTATTCTGGTTTAAGTAATTTAATATAACTACTAAGGTTGCTTGCTGAAACCTCTTGGTGACTGTCAAAACTCTAATAAACAATTAATGTGTAACCTGTTGAAACTCTGTCAATTGATTTCTGGAGGAGTTTCACACACAACCTTAATCACTACAGATTGAAAATAACAATGAATTAATGACATTACTACTTTGAAATCTGCTTCCATGGAAAAACTATCAACATCTAAATCAAAATATGGGAGCTATAACAATTGTGTATCTGGGCTTGATTTTTTACATAGTATAGCTCATGTAATAAAAAAGATCACTTTTTGAAGAATTAAATTCCTCAATCAATTGGAGCATAATTATTGTTTTATTAAATGGACCAGAAATTGAAAATTTTGATTATTTAAAAGCACTAGAGCATTGGGAAGGTGAAAAAACAACAAGAACCATTTGATTTTAATTTTTTTTGTAATACAATATTCATTATAAAATAAAAAAATAAGTGCACCCGAGTTGTGTAATGTTACACCCTCCCGCCAAATTTTAAATCTTTACTTCCCATAAGACGATAAAAAATTTCATTAACTCATTTTATAGAATAATAAGCAGTATCAATATCTCGGCACTTGGAAAGTTTGATAATTAATTCAAAGGTAAATTATACGCCCAAGATTAAATGTTTAAACAGGAAATTAATTACATGTTTATTATTATTTATCTATTTATTTATTAGCTTTGTTTTTGATTTGTTACACAAAAACCTGGTTTTTTGTTTTTTTGATTTTTAAGAAAATTAGAATAAAGTTTTCTATTTAACTTCTATTCCAAAGTTTCCATGTGATGTCACGAGATTTCAGTGGTAATTCTGTTTTCATTATCACCGTGACCTCTATAAGCCACATAACCTGTTCAACTTATTAATATTATTCCGAGAATAGAATATATCGACCCTTTATTCTAATAATAAAGTTGCATCTAAAAAAGCAATTATGAGATACAACCAGAAAATGATAAATAATAATAAAAAAATTAAAGTTTTTTTTGACTATTTTGGTAGGAAGATGAGGAATGAGCTGTGCACCGTAGATCATTGAACTGACTGAAAAAAATAATGTATTCATTTATTTACTTACACAACCGCAAACATTTTTTATTTTCCATGAGTTACATAATATGTAATAGTAACATTCAAAAACTCCTGAACGTGTTGAAGTTTTGACTGGTTTTTTCCTAATAAAGAAAAAAAAGCCATATTTTTTTTTGACAGTAATGAGTCATAAAAGATACTTTTGATCCGAAGAATATCATGACGTGAATAAAGAAGAATTTAACGATGTCAATAGTTAGACTTCACATGAGATCTTTAACACTCGCTCACGTATTTGCACAGATTTTTTCAATCGAAGACAGACGCTCCTAGACAAGTCTGCCAATTTTTGATCGTTAAAATACCACAGGTGAGGAAACCCAATGAATAAACATTTTATGATAAAAACCGACGAAATATAAATAAAAAGCAATTTGTTTAAATAATTTTATATGTATATACAGTGTGTAACAACAAAACCGGAAAATTTTTTTTGTGCAATTTAGAAAAAGGATGTTTTTTGTTCTTTCTAGCAGCCAATTGCCACTACATTCTATATAGAGATCATTCCTGAACTTATCACAAAGATTGAGATGTTGTTTTGATTTTAATTGGATTTTGAAAGTTCATATATTGAAACATCAAAATTTATTCATGAAAACTTCAATATAAAATATGTGCTATTATTTATTCAACAATGTTCATATATTGATTGAGTAATGAATGTTAAAAAAACTCCAAAGAATTGGAATGACATTTGGCAAATTAGTGAGAAATGAATTGCTAATTTTTATAATTAATGGAACAAAATTAACTTCATTGCCTAATATTAAAAGCAATTAAAAATAAATATATTTTTGATTTTCTGCTTTCTTTTGAAACAAAATAATAAAGATTTCCGATTTTTTTGTTACACTATTACTATGTATATTATAAGGCGAATATTTGCACGATCAACTTGAATTTTTAACATAAAAAAAAACATTTATATAAAATCGTGTGACGCTATTTTCATTATCTTTTTAAACTGTCAAAATGACACGCGAGTTAGTATTAACTGAAGCAGAATATGTTGAAATAAGGTAATGTATTGATTTTTAGTTGGATTTAGAAAAATTAAAATTAAAAATAAAATTTCCAAGTCTGAAATAATTTGAATTTGAATTTGAATTTGAATTTTCAACTATTACATAAAAATATAGAGGCAAGTGAATCTACAAATATACATACATACACACATATTTGTTGTTACAATAATAACATTTTTTTAATCAATATTTTTAATTATAGCCCAGCAAAGGACTTTTGAGGGGGCATATTGGAGAACAACAATGACGACATTGTTATTTTCAACAATTATTTTAAGAATATTTGAGAAATCATTTTATAAAATAGGGATGTTATTGGTTGTATTTGGACTATCAGTGATGTATATTTCGCTGCTAAGAAGACGAAATATTTTAGATGCACTTGATAAATCGAAACCATTTATAACAAGCGGAAGTTACGTTGCATTGATTAGCATATTGGCACTTACAATATATTCTTTGATATTATTATCAATTATATTTTTATAATTGATGAGGAAAAATCTATTTTATATATATAATATTAATGTACATGACATGACATAATAATGACATTTTCTATGATATAATATACACATTCTATTTTTTTCAATTATTACTATTATTATTAAATAATTATTATTAAATTAAATTATTAAATTATTAAATTATTAAATTATTATTATTATTATTATTATTATTAAATTAAATTAAAATAAATAAATTGATTAATCTGATTGATTATCATAATATTGATGATAGTTTTGTTTTTCAGATAGTTCTTTGCTGATTTCCATTTGTCTTTCTAATGGTATGATTCTTGCACCTAAAGGAGGTACTTTAATTCCATTATAATATTTTTCACCGTTTATTTCACTCATAATTTCACTCATCACATCACTGTCATTATTGTAGTTGTTGTTAATATCAATTACAATGCTATTGTTATCACCAGTTGCTTGATCTCCTTCTTCACCTTCTTTTCTTTCACCTTCCCCAATACTAATAATTTCCCATGTGTTTTCCGATCTTCTTTCTTTTCCAATTTCTTCTTCCTCTTCTTCCTCTTCCCTATAATCCTCATCTGCATCTTGTTTTATAGTAGCTAATATTTCAATTTGACTTGATTTATTTTTTATTTTTTTAGATGATGACGGAAATAATGATGATAGTAAATTACTATTACTATTATTATTACTATTGCTACTTCTACAATTATTCCTATCAAGGCTTCTGTTATTTTTAATAATTCGGATTACTACACAAGTTATTATTGTAAATAATAATATTACTCCTAGAAGTATAATACCTTTAATGATTTAATAATGAGTAGTTAGAATAATTGTTTCATTACAATAATAATTGTAATAGTAATAGGTATCATCGCTACTAATATTTAATTAATAATGTTACTTACTTATTGGAACAATAGCTGACATAACATATTTACTTGGGTATGGAGGCAATGATGATGATGCTAAATCTAATGATGTAGTTGACGACGATGTGGTTGTTATTGATGTTGTTACAATACTGACAGTGTTGGTGATTTTTGGATTTTCTATATTTTTATTTTTATTATTTGTACATTCCAATCTCTGGATATTCTCGGCTATAATATATTTTAATTAATAATTTATAATAATATAATAATAATTAAAAAAAAAGTATTAATTATTAAATAATTACCCTGCGAGCACCAATCATTGATACTGCTCATTTTTTTTTTCTTCAAAGAAAAAAAAATTATGATGGCGATGTAAAGTGACAATGAACGGATGAACGGATGAAGGGATGAAGGGTCGAAGGATTGAAGGATTGAAGAAGGAAAGATGTGATTGGAGATATGGATGGATGGATGGACGGGATAAAATGAAAATTGAAAATTTCGAAAAAACAAAAGAAAGAAAATTAATTACTTTTTAAAAAATTTTAAACAAAATAAATAAATAAATAAATATTTTTTATAAAAAATTTTTCCAGTAAACTCTTTTTCTTATATTTATATACACATATTTATTATATACTGAACTATGTAAGGTTATGAAATTATTAAATAAGGAATATTACTACAATAATGTATTGTGTAATAATTGTTATAATAAGATAGATTTTTATTATTGTTTTATTTTACTTTTTTATTGAAAGAATTAGAATGTACATACATACACGCGCGTTGATTTTACCAAAATTTCTCGGTTCAATTCAAATTTCTCAACAACTCTTGACCAAATTAAGAAACCAAATGTTTTTTTTTTTTTGGAATTGAAGGAGTTTTATTTAGGTCGTACCAGTTGTCATAAAGAAATTTCAGGGTCCAAATTTAATCAAAATTGATTAGCATTTTGTTTCATAATTTACATTAATATTAATCTAGTAATAAGTAATCAATCGTTGAGACTTTTTTCTTAAATAGTGAATAATTTCACCTTTCTTGGTTCTTTCAAGTTTCTTTATTCCGAAATTCCTGAATATTTTCCTTATTCTCGTTTAAATTTTTTTCTAAAATCATTTTTTAATTATTTTTTATTTCTTTGATTTATAATTAATAATTAATCGACCTAGAACAACAAACTCGCAAATATTTAAATAGCAGGCGTCCTTTTTTCTTGCTCTAATTCATCAAACACTTGGAATGCTAAAGTACCAGCACCAATGATTTCTTGTCCTTGACAAGAAATCTTGGACAAGCCTTCATTTTTTCCAATAATGACTTTCTCTTTATCAATTACTTGTTTTCTTAACTTGCTTACCTACTACCTCTGTATCATTAGGAACGGGATTAGGAGTTTGAGCCTTACTAATTAATTCATTAATTCATTGATGCTTGGAATAAAACAACAAATCACACTTATTGGTGGTGTTCTAATTTTATATGACAAGCTACTATATAAAGTAATCCTGGGTATATACTCGTAAATTTTCATTCCACGGTACAGTGCCAATTATGCAAGTAGCCAATCACCTAGAAGAGGAGACTGGCTTGATTACTGTGATAGAGGAAGGAAGGATTGAACCGATGAAAAGAAGTGATTTTAGGATTCTTTTTGTTTTTTATCTGGATTAATTAATTTTTAATTTTTGTATTAAGCACAATTTAATATCTTGGTTATTATTATACAAACCTACATTTGGCGAAAAGAGATGGTGATAATTTCGAAAAAAAAAAAAAAGAACTCAAAATAATGCCGTCAGAAATGATTACTTTGGAAATATGCCGAGGAAAGTATAGTAAAAGGTGGTGTCTCAACTTCATCAAGAAAAGTTATCCAGACAAATTCTTGATATATTATCTTTTGGAAGATCATCTTCAATTAATCATATATTCATAAAACGTCGGTTTATTGCTTTAGTTATGATAACATTTTTTATCAATTTGTTGTTGTTTTTATTACTTTAGCAATAAGGTTCTTTTTGAAGATAAAAATAAAAGATTGGAAACTACATAGATAGGTTACCCCTCAAATTTTACTAATGAGTTTACCCAAAAATAGGCAGGGACATTAAAACTTTTTTTGCACCATATTAATTAAATTTCTCTTCTTGCAAAAAGTTGTAAATATCCAAAGAATTTCCTGACATTGATGGAATCCTGGAAAAAGTTAACCATGATCATTAAATTTAAATCAATGCTAAAATAATATATTACTTGAGATGATTTGATAATGTGCAAACAAATTTTCACCTAATTCACATTTTTGTGAAAATAATCCTTCCATGATGATTTTAATAAGTGCAATTACAGAAATATAAGATAAACTGCCAATAAAAGAGCTGGATTAGATACACAAGCATGTCTATTTCCAACTGATTTGGAATAACTTTTCCAATTGCTAATTGTCCATCAATAATAAATAACAAATATTCATTTTCTACTAATGAAATGAATGCTCTTGGTCTGTTTATTTCAACACTATCATTTTGCACCATTTATATAATAATTACATTTACTGAATTCATATCAACATATTCTTATAATTCACATTGTTTCATCATATCTAATTCTATTGGATCAGTTAAAATTATATTAAAGGTTCATAAATTTCCGTTTTTGAAATGACATTTATCTCTTCAGAAATAATATTCTCTTTATTGGTACACTAATTGTGCAATTTTTTACTACCTTGCTGCTTCATCTGTCCAAGAAAATGTAAATTGGTTATGTCACTATTTTGATCTAGTTCATTATTATATAGTGCTGGTAAAATGTTTGGAATTTCATTCTCTAATAACCTCATTTCTAAAACCGATGCCTGTTCTTATCGCTCATAAATTTTCTTCATTACTTGGCCAATATCAACACTCTGTTTGAAACTCAAAATCATGAATATGACCTGTAATAAATAATTATTTTATCTCTAAGAAATTTTTGTTGAATTTGTAAAATTCACAATATATAGATTCTGTTCCATGCTCCAAAGGATAAAGAGGATACATTATTATTTACAATTGATAAAAAAATATTTTATTTTATCAGTACTGACAAAAAAAACCATTTATTTTACCCAAAATATTCTCTAACTGATTTATCCGAGCTTCAGGTAACCTGTCTATGTAGTTTCCGAGGTTCTATTAAGGTGTCAATAAAAAACAAAAACAAAATGATTTATTTGGAGTCAATTAAAATTTCTTTATATTTTACTTCTTGACATCATTTGCAACAATAGCCAAAATCACGACCACACTATTTTTTAACCAGGGAAATCAAAGATTTTCTGTAGCAACAACCTCTGTGAATAAAGGCCATCTGAAAGGAAAATACATGGTTGACTTGGATTTTTTAACCAGAACAACATGGAGACACCTGCATAGGCGTAGAAAAGATTGTTCTATATAAATCTGACACTTGTGTTCAAATGATTTTTAAGGAACCCTGCAGCTTACAATAATTTTATTTTCTCTTACTCAAATCTTTCTATCTTGGATATTATTAAATTGGTTCCTTAAGTTTCATTTTTGCATGGTCTTAAATATTATCATTACTTGGGCAATGGAGTTTGTTTAGTAATCCTTTGCGAATTTAAGATGTCAAGTTATTTATAACATAACATCATCATCACAAACATCATATTGGACAAGGAAAGGATCAAACAATAAATAAAAGAGAAATTGATTTATTTTGATTCAACCAATATATGGAAAGACATACAATAATTTATATATAAAAAAAAATTACCAGATCAATTGCATCACACAATTTATCTCTGAACCCTGAAATTATTTTGTGGCACTATGTCCAGTTTTGTTGCATAAGGCATATGTGTAATACGTACAATTATTTTATCTCTAATCAGGTCAACAAATAAGATGGTCCGAAATCGATTTTTTACTTTTTTTAATTTCGGATTCTCGATTTTTCTTATATGAATGAACACAAATAACCATGCTGTTTTGTTTAGAACTCAAATAATCTATTACTATATTAATAATAATAATGAGAGGGCCGACCATCTTTAGTCAACAAGTAAATCAGTAATATTAGCAAACTTAAATGATGTCGATAAATTAATTAATTAATTAATTTAAATAAAAAGAAAGTTTACTATTACTTACTACCAATCAACTACCAATCAACTTTGGTATTTTCAATAGTTTATATTTGTGTAATTGGGTTAAAAATTTAATTACAGATTATGAACTTCTGACGTTTTAGTCGTTGTATTAGTCACTGGAACAGGCAAGAATTTTATCAACATTTTAACTGCCGCTACACCAATCTCATTTAATATAATCACCGCAACAACATAGGTTTACTTGTTTACATGCTTTATCTATTATCTGTCTGCTGTACATCTAATGCCAATCGATCTTTGTTGAAATGTTAAACAACTCTCGCAAACACCAGCAAATATCAGAATCAAATCCAATTTTACCAAATGACCCATATCATCAAAATCACCCATCTAAATATCAAACTTTCATATACCCTCACCTCCCAAAAGTCATGGACCACCCCAAAAAAAAATTTTTTTATTAATATTTTGTAGAGCCACCATTACTATTAATACATTCTTGTATTCTCCTAGGCATACTTGATATTAAATTAATATAATATTGTTTATCTATTTCACCCCATTCCTTTTTTAAAATATTAAACAATTCCTTTTTATTTTTAGGCTTTCTTTTTGATTTTTTGAGTCGTCTTTCAAGTTCTGCCCATAAATGTTCTATTGGATTCAAGTCAGGTGACTGTGAAGGCCAATTCGTTAATGTTCTAATTTTATTTTCTTGAATCCAAGCCATTACATCTCGTGCAGTATGCACTGCGGCATTGTCATCTTGAAAAAGATAACCTTTTCCATGAAATTTTTTCTCAATGTAGGGCAACAGATGTCTTCTCATTATTTCAATGTAATCCCATCTATCCATAGTTCCATCTACTAAAACGAGGGGTCCTAATCCTCTATTTGAAAAGCAACTCCAAACCATAATGCTACCACCATTATGTTTCACAGTTGGTACCAAATTTTGTTTTTTCAAAACGTGTACCGCAAGTTCTCCAGACATGATTTGGACCATCATTGTTAAAAACTGCAAACCTAGATTCATCTGACCAAATAAGATTTCCCCACTTTCTAATAGATCATGATTGCTTCTCCAAACACCAATTAAGTCAGTTCTCCATTTGTACATCGGTTTTTGTGCTGGAATACGAGAAAAAAAACCAAGATTATGTAAGGATCTATGGATTGTCTTCTGTGATGCTTTGGTATTAGTTTTTTTTTCAAAGTTTTGCTGTATTTCAGCTAAAGTACTATGGAGTTTCTTATTAACAATTCTATTTATAACTTGTTCTTTTTCTTCGCCAATTAATTTTGGACGTCCAGATCAAGGTGCAGAACTTGTTGTATGTGTGACTCTAAAGCACACCAAAATATTATGGACTGTAGACTTTGGTATTCCAAGAACTTTACTAATTTCTCTCTCGCTACTACCAGCTCTGGACATACCAACAATTTGACCACGGGTTTCTTCATTAAATTATCAACTTCCATTTAAAAAAATGTGACGATCAAAATTTTAACAGTTCAAAACAAACACAATAACAAAACTTCCATGTAACTCTTTATTCAGCGATGAAAATCATAAACAAACATAAACAAATGATTCAGGAATATACTGTAATAATTTCACATGTAGTTAATAAATTGATAAAATTTTAATTGGTTTTCAAAAAAATGGTCATGACTTTTGGGAGGTGAGTGTATTATTAAAATAGATGAAGACATGCTTATGTATTATTAATTATTCAAGGTAATATTAGCATAGCGGACATTTGCATATTTGGTAATGATTTGCGTCAATCACATTTTGATTTTATCACGTAAAAAAGAATTTTGATTGGGCTGAATATCATTACTAAATTAACAATTACACAAAATCATTAATTGTGCACAATCATTTTTTGACATTAATTAATTTTTTAAACATAATAAAGTTGTTTTTAGCTGTTAAATTATATTTTTATACATAAAAAATGTGATGAGATAGATACATAAAATAAAAACACATTATAAAAATAATAATAAGGAAATTAGAATTGTGCAAAAATATGGGTTTACAATTTTTTTTGAATTCAACATCTCTATTTTTTGTAAATAAATAAAATTCAATGTCATTATAACAGTAACAGTAGTGACTTGTTCTTCCTTATCCATATTCAAATATTCATAATGTTATGGAAATGATATTTGATTCTTATTACAGGTCACTCCAGTTATAAGGACATTCATGGGACAAGCAAAAAATGTCCGTATAATGAGATGTTCTTATAACGGGAGTTCATATAAAATCACATGACTTGAAAAATGATTATAAAATTTTTTTAGAAATTATTATTTTATTTTAAAATCAACAATTTAGCAAAAGTTTATAATTATAATCATTAATGATTAAAAGGTTTGGAAAAAACGTTTTTAAAAATTTGCAAAAATTTTTAGTGTAAGTATTGAATAATTCATAATTCTTTTATAGTCTTGTTTGAAAATGTTATCAAAAAAAAAATTGTGAATAAATTTCTTTATTGTCAAAAATGTAAAATATTTCATCACCATAAGTATTTCATCATCAAAAAATAATAAGAGATCAATCAAAAATGTAAAGATACTTTGTTACAATTCAAAAACCCATTCTTGAAAATAATAGATACTTTGTCACCACCAAAACAATTTGTGAATTGATTATTGTTAATTTTAGTGTTAATAATAATAATAAACTTGATGTAAGTAATTTGTGTTTAGTGTTTAGTATTAATAATATTAAAACATTAAAAACGTAAATAATTAGCTGTCATTGTGATTTGAGTGATTTGATTGGTTCTCTTGTTGTACTGACATCTTTATGACAGATGTCATTATAATGGGATAAATTTATAATTATAAAAAAATTTTTTGTCCAATTATGTCCTTATACTCTTATAACAGGATACATAATGAATGTCATTATAATGGGAGTAAGTTTATCTTTCAAATTAATATTAATACTTTTAGATTTATTTTTTTTATTAATGCAATAACATTTCATGTAATTAAATATATAAATTTGTTTCCATAAATCATTATAACATAAATTATTACACAGATACTTGAAAGTGTTACAATATTCAAAAGTGTTATGATATTTGAATATATAAAAATTATTTGACATCAATTTCAAAGTAGGGTATCAATGATGGAATTGCTTATAATTAAACAAAATGTATAAAAGAACTCTGAATTCCATGTAAAAATAAATTAGTTTTAACAAATAAAATTATTATATAATAGTCTATTCCTAAATTTTTAAATTAATATAGTTGCCACCATCACAACTGATTTGATGATTACCTATTTCTCTTGTGCAAAATAAAAATAATTATTTTAAAAAAAATGGAAATTCCAAAAAGTAGAAAACAAAATAATGGATACTTATATAAAGCCTCAACTAAATTCTAATGATCAAAATTTTTGGCAGTTCATAAAGCTGACATTTCTTCCATGTGGTCATATTTATCATGAATATTGTTTACAACATCATGACTACAAGTGTCTATATTGTTTAAAATACATAAAAAATCAGATTAATATCAATGTAGAATCTATTAATAGACTTACAAGTGAAAAAAATTTTCCAATAGAAGATGATCCCGAAGATGAAATTCAATCATTAGAAATTGATGAACCTGAGGAATTACAAATGGCATTTAATCTTCAAGCTGAGATTGTGTTTAATACAGCACTTCAAGAGTTCCTAAGGAATTAGATTTAATATAATAAATTTTTTTTTCTTTAATTTATTTATATATTATTGTTACATGTATAAATTTAGAAGTTCTTTAGAATAGCTATCTACCTTTTGAAATCCTTTTATGTATTAATATAACATCTATGTACAATAATAATAAAAATTGTATTTGGTGTATATATACTATGTCTTGTAACTAACCAAATAAATAAGAAAAATATTAATATATATATGTGTGTGTGCATGTATAAATTTAGAGTTTTTAGAACAACTACCTTTTGAAATCCTTTCATGTAATTAACAAATCATATAACATCTATGTACAGTAATAAAAGAACTGTAGCCAGTGTATGTCTTGTAATTAAATCAAATGGGTCTGGGACACTTTACTGACACCCACTTTACCAAGAAGACACTTTACTGACAACATGCGGGGTTACATTTAATCTCTACACAATCAAACAAACTAACAAAATGCTAAAATATCATGTTGCATGTTGTTGGTAAAGTGTCTTGTCAGTAAAGTGGGTGTCGGTAAAGTGGGTGTTGGTAAAGTGTCCGTGTCCGTCTGAAGTTTACTTGATATCTCATCTGGGCCATTACGATTATCCTCTTGAAATGATAAAAAATTGAATTCACAAATCCCGATAGAAGTAAAGGTAAATTAATTTACCTTCTCGTTCACAGGTCTTCCTTAAGATCTTCAATGACCACAAATACTTTTTTTTTAAAACAGGCCAAATTCGCATGACATCTACGCACTGCATTTTCCGTAGTGATTTATCAATCTTGTATGCTCAAGATGTGGTGCCTGGCAAGACCAAAATTCTGGTTTTGGATAAAGCGAATGAACTTATTCCTGTCACTGTTGATAGTCTGGTCATTGTAAGATTGTTATTTTTATTGACAAAGCACATCCTTCATGTTCTCAATATTAAATTATCCTTCAAAATTAGTAACAAGACACTGGCTACATCAGTTTCTATACACGTGCCGGCACCGTGATTGCCAATAACATTTTATGTTTGTGCTATGACGATTGCCCACCATCACAATTTTTAATGAACCTGGCGTTTGCACCAATTCAATTATGGACTAAAGTATTTCCCTCTACCCATCGTCAGAAAGAACTTCACCCATACGTGCAAATCCTGGAAACCGCCTATGTCACTTGGTGCAAAGCGTTAGATATTTCCAAAAGAATTAAAATGACTTGATTGAGGGATGTGGTTCTTTAATTTGATGTATTTTTTATATATTAGGAAATTAATTCGTGCAGTATAGCAATTTAGCTAAACCAATATTTGAATACAAAATTTCTTTTTAAGACACGTCCAAATAAAGTTATCTTGTGTCAGTCAGCAAAGCAATATATTTTTTGTGTGTATTTTTTCAGATAAATCAAAATACAAAATCCAGATGCTGTTTAATTGATTTGGTATAAATGCTAACACTCATTCACACGTGGTTAATCACTCTTAACATTTCTCTGGGTTAAATGCTATTAACCCACGGTAACATTACACAAGTATTTTCACTAATCCATATTAACACTCCCTCGTTTAATCAACGTTAGTACTTTTACACTACAAAATCATGGATTTTTACTAAAGTACTTATTATTTCTTAAAAATGATTTTGAATAAAAATTGGTATATGATGAATCTAATAATATATATATAACATATTTATGTCTAAAAGTATATAATAGAAATACAATCTATTAAAAAAACTTTTTATTAATTAAATAATTAAATAATTACATAAATATTATAAATCTAATAGTTTGACTCCTCTTAATGCTGCTACTTTAATCAAAATTTCTCTATCACCTGCATCTATAAATTCGTCAATTTTATCATCACTATTTGATCTTAATCTTAATAGTTTAAATAATTGATCCTCATCCATTTCTAAAACTTTAACAGTTTTTTGTACTTCTCTGGTTGGTGAAATATCTAGAGCAGAAAGAACATTTGTCAAATAACCTAAATCCGTTAACAATTGTTTTATACCATGTGTTGATAATTGTGGGATGGCCAAAATACGTTCAAAAATTGCATGCATAGTGCCACGAGCTATAGATGTAATCCAAGTATGTGTGACCTCTCCTGTTAAAAACTCTTCTTCTTCCATCTGTATATTATTATTATTAGTTTCATCTTTTTGATCAATTTCTTTTATGATTCCTTCCTTTGTTGCTATACTACTTGCAGTAGTAACAGTAGTAGTAGATGCTTCTGCCACTGCTGCAGCAGTGTTTATTGATTTCTCATCACTGTAAGGTAGTGATCCAATAGAAAAAGCCAATGATTCATCATCAGCAAAGACTTCAAATTGTTGTGGCAAAGTTAAAAGATGTTCTCCAATCCTAGTCATATATTCAGATGGTGATAAACTGAATATTGGAATTTCTATATTAAATGGTGAAATTTGTGAAGACTCTGCTGTTGCATTCCAAATTTCCATTGAGGGTAGATTTATCATATGTTTAACAATAGGAAAAAAAATGCTATCAAAAACAAGAAGTTGACTAGATTTAGTAAAAGTGCTAATAGATTTAGCTGAAGGTTTTAAGACTTGCTTTGTCTTGATATCTCCTGATAAAAGTTCATTAAGTTGATGACTGTTAAGAGGTGATTGTTGTAATAATGATAAAGATGATAGAGTTCCTGTAAAAGTTGTTTTTTCAATAATCACTGATTGTTGCTCATACCAACCAAATTTGTCATGATTATTTATATCAAGCTCTATCAAAGGTCTCATGCTAACAAGTTTTTCTTTAATATTATCTTCCAATATCTTTAATTTATCAGTTGCAATACGACATGTTGATAATAACCTCAATCCAATTTGAAAATTGGACCAATCTTCTTGTAATTTATCTTGATCAAACTCACTATAATAATAATCATTCATATGTCCAGATGATTTTGAATGTTTATGATATTTGACATGATAATCATTTAATCTAAAGTCTGTACGTAATTGATCCAACAAAGTATGATATTCTTTTATAAAAAAAGAAAAGAAATAATTTAAACAGTTGATTAATCCAACTGCTGCAAACCCATGTGTAAGTTTCATACATCTTTTCACTGAATTTTCTGCCATGTAAAATATTTTTGAAATATTTCCTGACATGACTTTTGCAAGTTCAACAGATCCAGAAATTTCAGTTGATTGAAGAATAGTTTTTTTAAACAAATCAATTAAATAATTCTTCTCGTATTCGGAAAAATCATGTTGATATTCAACAAAAGGTTCAAAAATCACTCGACCCCAATCAATTAAATTCATCTTTGGCAGCATCAATTGATTATTATTTGATGATAATGATGATAATGTGACTTGAATTGGATTAAATAAAATATGTTCCATTTGTTGACCAAAATTTTCAGTTAAAGTAAAGGCATCAATAATTTCTGGTAAACATTGTTCACCATAATATTCAATCAAACCTAACAATCTTGTACTCAAAGATGGTCCCAATGAATCAAAAATACTTTCAATAAGTGTTATTATAATTTCATTTGTATCAGGAAAAACATTTCCACACCAAGTATATTCTTTATTTAGTTTCATAAATAATTCTTCATAAAACTCTTGTAAAAATTCTACAAATTTTTTATATGAGTTTGATTGATTTTGAGAATCAAAGGTGTTTGAATATGAGGTTGTTATTGTCGTTATAGGTGGATTTTGTTGATGTTTTTGTTTAGATGTGTCATTCATCATTGTTGCAACATCAATTATAGCTGCATTTTGCCATAATTTTACAAAATGTTCTTTTCTTGATTCATAATAATAATTGCAAAATTCTTTTTTTCGACCAATTTGACAGAATATTGCATAGAACATTTGACATGAACTAATATCATGTTCACTCAAAGCAACAACTAGTTGAGGGTTAATCTTTGTTTCAAGTTGATTTTTCAGTTCGCTTAACAATTTATGACGATGTTCATACTCTGGTGTATTTTGAAATATTATTAAACTGCATGGCTAGATGATCTGATGAAAGAATGGGAAGAAATCCATACTCAATTTGTACAAATTTTTAACCAGATATAGAAGTTTTCTACATATATCGGGACACATTCATTTTTTTTTCTAGCAAAGTGATCGGCACACGTGATTTTAATAATTTAGCTTTTCTGCAATTATTATATTATTTTATTATAACAAATATGATAAGTAATACTAATAATAAATCCGATCAAAGCGAAACATTTGCTCCTTTATATGAAGTGCTTTTATATAAGAAGAAGGATATAATAGCAATTCAAGAAAAACTCGGTATTATCAGTAATATAAATCAAACAGCAGTGACGGAGAGCAAGAAATCAAAAAATCTTGCTGTTTCATATGAATTATTGTTAAAATTAGTAGGAGATTTAATACTGATACAGGAGAAACTTGGTATAGATGTCAATCCTGTTCTAGAAGTGGAACTTAGAAGGGATAAAGCCTCTTCAGATAAACCAATTAGATTATTTGATTTGCTTTTATCTTTAGAAGATGATATAGTGGTAATTCAGGATAAACTCGGTATTATTGGTTATTCTAATCAAGAAAGGGCAGAAGAAGTTGATGAGAATGTAAGAGCACAACTACAAAAGCTTGAGGAATTTCACGGTCCATTAGAAGATGATCCAGGTGTAATTTTACCGAAATATGGTGAAATGGGGGTAAAGAAATTTCGGTTTACTGGAGAGGGACTTCCTCTATTTCCAAATCTTACTCCTCAACAATTCCACGAAATTTTTGTCAAAAAATCGGCTAGCGACAATCAGTGCCCATGTCTTGAACAGGTTAGCTAATCTACCTTCAGAAACATGATCTAATCAGCTTTATTACAAAGCCTATTTTTAGAGGAGCTGGTTTTATGACTTTTCGAGTCGCTTATGGACCTGCTACCTTCTTCGATTAATGGGATACTCATACCATCTATTACAATTTTAGCATGGTGGCTACGGGCTTCGGGAGAAAATTCAAAGCTTATTTTTGCTTTATGCATCCATAACCATTCTTGTCCTAACACCAGATCAAATGATGGATTTTTGCGAATTTGAAAGTCTATTACTTCGGTGGCATCTAAGCTTCGCCACTTTCCTTTATAACAAAATTGCAAATCTAAGCATTGCATTTCACCTATTACATCTCCATAGAGAATCTCAACAGGATCACAGATATGATGAATTCCATAATCTTCTTCAAGCTTATCGAACAGGCGCCTGCTAATAGTATTGTATTTAGATGTTGTATCAATTAATGCTTTGACTGGGAATTTTCCTTCTACGAGAGAATCAACGAACATGTTAAGTATATTTAATAATGTATATTATCACGAAAAAATAACTAATGTCTGATATATAATTATACATTCTCAAGATCGGAAGAGTCGGTTGCAGATTTGGATGCACAACCCTCTAAGCCAGCTGAAAAAATTAAATATGGCAGATGGGTAGGCCGACTTGCTTTCCTACATTAGGTAAATATAATTTATTAAACGAAAAATTAGTCACATGTCATCTCTCCCTCGAGGCTTATTATATCACCTATCCAGTTCAGCCCGTTGGTAATATCGATCTTTGGCTTGCTTCATAAATGATCCATCGGGTCGATAAAGCCACTTAATTACTGCGTTTTGGACGATTTTGGCTGAATCTATTCGTCTTCGATGCCATGAACGAAATATCCGCTGAATAGTTAATACTGCTTGTTTTCTGGAACACGGATAACAATATTGATGATATCTTAATTGAGTATCAACTGAAAATCTATACGCACGTCGGCATTTAATACATCGCCTGTACGGATTTTTTGGAGATATAGTGCAGGACACCTAGTCCCACAACTTTTTATTGGTCTTGTATATTCTTTAGTATACCAGAAATGGAAATGTAACTCACATAAACAAAACATGATTTTGAAGCTAAGACCTTTCTCCACAAAGCTACGATTTCATTTTGTTGATATGTCACATTACCA